TCAGGAATTTTTGGGGGAAAAATTGGTAGAAAGTTGAGGAGAGTCTAGGAAATTTTCCCGTTTCACGTAGGCTACGAGCCCTCCCCTCCCCCCCCCCGCCCTCGACGGAAATCTCTGGGTGAAAAGTGGAAAATGTGGGAAATTGGTAGGTACATAGGTGCTGAAGAAGGTGGAGGGGGAGGCCGTACCAAGACTCCCCTCGAGAGGGGGGGGGGTCGCACTGGCACCATCGTTTCACACACCACAATGCTCTACCCTGTCTATGATGAAGTGTCCTTCAGCTGTAGCCGATCTGACGTGGTCAATCCCGATGAACGTCATTTCTTCGAAAGAACTCGTTTCCTTGCTCTGTGCAGAAGTTCGTTTCTCTCTAGTTTGAGAGCGTTTTCAGTGCAGAGCTCACTGTGATCACAGAAAGAAGCCATTTGTTTACCATTATGACTGAGTGGAGGACGCGCAAGACCTGATTGCTCTCTCAGATCCACGTGATTCGCCGCCCACATATGCATTGCAGTTTCCTATGAACCTTTTTTTCCGATTTTTACGTGAAGCCTCATATGACGGATAGTCCAATACTAACGATAATAGATAAAGAGAGTTTGCCTCCGAACTTCACCGAGATCCTTCCCACATCTACTCACATGACATTCCATTGCTTTTTTTTGTCTGCCGTTCCTAAGGTTACCTGTTTTGGATACCTTTTTTACAGGCAATGTGGAGTACTTCGGAAGGCACTCGAAGAAAAGAAATGTATTACCGAAATTTGCGCTCAAATGAAAGCAGAGTATCCACCTACGAATCGCCTTCATTACACAACTTCGAACGATATACGGTAAGAAGTGCGCAGACGTCGAAAGGGTCATGTGCAGTAGCGGAAAAGAGCTTGGAACAAGCAGGAAAATCGGAATATCCTGTCAAATCGTTACTTGATTTTCACTGATTCATACACCTAAATGTTGTAGAAATAGGTAAACTGTGATAGGGAGAACTATTTCCAAATTAGCAGAAAAGACACCAAGCATAAGCGGAGCTTATATGAAGAATAGATTTCGGTACATTCCGGTGATAGAGTGATTAAATGAAGCCTGCACGTAAACCCCTCGGACATCTGTGGAAGGTCTTGAAGGAATAGTCAGAGGTTTACTGACAAGACCGAGTTGTTCTATGGAATTTAAAGAACTAGGAGTCTAAACCTAGAGGCGCGTAATTCAACCTGAAGTTGGCTATTACAGGGTAACATAAGTATTGTAGACCTTGAGCTCGGCGATGACATTCGATGACTTTGTCTTGTCGTGACGGGAGAGCAGTTTTTTAGACACATAATCGCGTTGTGGAAAGTGTTGACTGAATACAATTCTCCCTCTCTAGAAGATTCCCTCCGGTACGATCTCTCTTTCACTACCTACCCACCTTCTTAACAACTTCATTGAGGGAGACCACATACGATCTTCTTTGTGTTCCCAGCATCGTCTCGCTTGAAGGGTGAAGTCCTGCTCAAGAACATCTTTGGAGCATTTGGGCTGCGTTCTCATTTTGCGGCAGCGACCTCCAGCGACCAATAGCGTCCACTAGCGTTACAAGCGTACGGCAGCGTCAGCGACCAAGAAAGTTTAGATGTGGATTTAGCGTCTGGCAGGGTCTACCATCGTCTCGAGGGCTAGGGAAGTACACATAGGTACCGATCTAGCGTCTGCTAGCGTCTGCTAGCGTGCGCCCGCGTCTGGGAGAGGAGAGTGTGGCGCGATAGGAGGGTACCAGCTGTCGCTGCCCTCCTATCGCGCCGCAGTCCCCTCTTTCAGACACTGGTAGACGCTCGCAGATGCTAGATCGATACCTGTACTTCCCTAGCCCTTGAGACGCTGGTGGACGCTGGTAGACGCTGGCGCACGCTGGTAGACGCTAGATCGATATCTATACTTTCCTAGTCGCTGACGCTGCCGGACGCTCGGAACGCTGGTGGACGCTATTCGTAGCTGGTGAACGCTACCGCAAAGTATGGACGCAACCTTACCTTAGATCTGTAATGTGATTTGTTACTGTGACTGATGTGAACTTTGACGGTTCCCGCCACGTCCAAAATGTTTATCGTGCCCTTCACCCTCTTTCAAAGAGTTTGAAATTTTTTCGAGTAGACTTTACCAACCATTTTTTTTGTACTTTTCAGGAATTTGGCCATTCGAATCGGCCTTCCTGTGTTCATATTAGAGCGAAAGCCTGGTAACCCGAACGCTGAAGAAGGAGAGGACAGTCAAGGAGGTAAAACTGTTGAGGAGGACGTTATATCTGAAGCTGCTCAGTCCGAAGGCTCTTCATCAACTAACTCGGATCTGGAAATTGATGAAGTCGATCTTCTTGGTGTTACTGATCAGCACGAGGATGAACATGATGATCAGCCACTGGAACATTCATTTCTCGGCGAACAGGTTTGTCCATATTTTGGCCTCGGATCATTTTCGACTGCTCTATTTATTCTTTTTTTATATTCATATTTAAGAGCGATGAAGTTGAGAGTACCTCGCCCACATCATCAGTTCAAGCTTCCAATCTCAGTGATGATATGGAAAGCCGCCCTTCAAGGACAAGACGAGCTCCTCGTCGTTTTGTCGATGATTGACCTGCACTTTGTTGCCGGTAGATGGGAGCGCCAGAATTACGCGCTGTGGCTCTTGCAGCGGTGTTTGCTGAACAGAACATGCCGCATTGGTTCTGTAAGAATTCTAGCCCCTTTGGAAAGTGGACCCTCTCGAGGATCATGGGCCTTTATCAGGTAGAGCACGCTACAGATTCAAGTGCTTGTAACTATGCGCTCAAAAGACGAAATTCAGCCGTGACTGGTTTTGTACTTACCCTAATGGGCTAATCGTTCATTGTGAACATTTCTGTTTCGTTGGGTTTCTTACTACTAGGCTATACCTGCACGAGTGCAGGTATAGTAGTTAGACTGCGTTCATAATTTGCGGCAGCGTTCACCAGCGACCACTAGCGTTCCGAGCGTCGGCAGCGTCAGCGACTAGGGAAGTGTAGATATCGATCTAGCGTCTACCAGCGTCTACCAGCGTCCACAAGCGTCTAGGGAAGTATAGTTATAGATCTAGAGACCAGCAGCATCTAGAAGCGGTGAGTATGTGGCGATAGGAGGGTAGCCGACAGGTGGTACCCTCCTATCGCCCCATACTCTTTATGCCCAGACGCTGCTGGTCGTGGGTGAACGGTGATAGACGCTGCTGGTGGCTAGATCGATACGTAAATTTCTAGCCTTCGAAACGCTGGTGGACGCTGATGGCTGCTGGTAGACACTGGTGGACGCTGGTAGACAGTAATAGCGCACGATTGATATCTGTACTTTCGTAGTCGCTGACGCTGCCAGACGATCGGAGCGCTAGTGGTCGCTGGTGGACGCTGCCGCAAAGTATGAACGCAGCTTACAGGAAGCAGTGTACAGCTTCTTAGTTCTTTTTCCAGTAATTACTTCTGGAATATTTTTTGGTCCACTAATGTTTGTATTGTTGTCCGTTGTTGTCACATAAATCTAAAACACAACAATATTTATTGAAGAAGTGAAATCATTTTGGCAACGAAATTGGTTCTTCTTTATACGCAACTCGTACTCTGTTGGCTACGAAGTATATATGGACTGTGACTGAAACAGTGCTCATATGGAATCAGCACTATTATTTGCTAACACAATTTAGATATTTATTTTGAATGGCGAGTAAAGGATGAAAATTTCAGCGCTGATAAGTCCATTTTTGAGATGCGCTAGGCATTCCACGGCCATTCAGAATTAAAGTTGGATCTTAGTTCGTTTCGGTCTAAAAGGGAGGGACGGTACTACACCCTGATAGCCTTTCTCTTGCTCGCCACTCTGCTCAAACTTTGAGCCCCTGCTTTCCCATTCCACTTTTGCAATGTCGTGTTCCCAAGCGCAAGTCGTGTTGGATATTGTAGCTAATTATAGCTATTTGCGGAGAAAATATACGCTGAACATGGTGAAAGAAAGGCATTGCTGTTTAAAGCAAAGTTCGCCGATCAAACCTCACCGGTCGTCGCTTTCTGCAACTACTGTTAGGTTCTCCCAAAAGTTCGTGACATTTTCGGCCTTTTTTCGAGTTAAGTTTATTCCAGTGAGAAGCAATTTTGATCAACAATATATATGTTACCTTCATCGGCAACTTGTTGCCAACCACCAGGCAGAGAGTGGTTGCCTTGCTTCCAGAAGCTTTTTAGTTCCATGTCGAGAAAGGCAGCCGGGTCATTTTGAGGTGCTTTTGAAAATCGTATTTTTACCCAGAAGATGGCCGCTGTGGGATTAGTTTAGATGGCGTCGGAAAGAGCTAAGTCAGGGCTACACGAAGACTGTGGTGGAATTCCCCAGCTAAGCTTCAGGATCTCGAGCAGTGTCGTTTTCCAAATGTGTGACCCTGAGCTGTGGTGGAGTAGGCAAACATTGCTCGGTTGTGGGACCAAATGGTGGGATTTTCATCCCCCTTTGCAGTTGATTACAATAGGGTTCGCTGGTTACCACAGCGCTGAGAAGAAGAAATTCCCTTCAAGGAAGAGAGAAAGAAACCCCACCACATACACAGTCTCACCGCCCTACTGGATTGATAGGATTGCGCGATCGGTTCTGCCCTTTCTGGGGGATCTAGCCGCTGGCGCTTCCGGGAGTGATTCACCTAGAGACACTCTCCATATCCAGTTGCAACGTTGTTCATCCAGTCCGTATGGCGGAAGCGGGAGAGAAGTTGTAGACAGTACCCACAAGAGCTCCCCTTGGAGTATCGGTCAACTCATGAGAAAAATTTTGACCGAACTTCAAACTTTTTTAAGGGAGCGAGGCCCTCTGTCATGTGCTTTTGGAACAGTAAAGTGTAAGGACTACCGGATTGATTTGTACGAATTGCTTTCAATCAAGGAACACAGTAGGTCAAAATCCAAGGCAGCGGCCGTGGATGAAGTTTTCCCCTAGGCAGAAGTCACTCAGGCGAAGGCGGGCCATTTCAACGCCGTACTGTGGAAGGTACCATCAGGACCTAACTCAGAGAAATGCCGCTTGTGGCTCCAACCACGTTGTGGCTTGGTGGAGATTCATATAGCGAAGTGTGTCGAAAATGATGAATTTCAATTACCGTTTTGGATATGAGAACAGCGACTGCGAGGGACGGTAAAGAAGCAGTGGGATGCTTACTTACACACTTCCCATAGACCACATAACTGGATCTCGAAATGGCTACGGAAAGATCTGATACGAGATTCTAGAAATGGTCACGAACTTCTGGGACAACCTAATAGATCTTACTCTATCCGTCTGGGAAGTGAAAGCGCTGATTTGACGACTTGATGACCTTCGCAGCTGTAGAACTCTGCTTAGAAGGAAAGGATGGTTGGTCGAAGTGGCCATTCGAAATGAG